TCTGAGTGATGAGTGAGAAAATCTGTTTGCTTGGATCAGTAAACTCAAAAAATAATTGATTTTTACTTTTGGTTCTTGTGAAAGATTCATGACCCAGAAACTCTAAATCTGTAAATTTTGGATTCTCTTTTGTCTAATTATTAGTTTGCATGTTATGCTTTCTCTGTTTATCTCAAAGTTTGAATCTTTTCTTGTTTTACTGAGAACCCTTCAAATCATTAACCAAATCTTACTGTATTATTGATGGTTTTTATAAACTGAATTGTTGACTTTTGTGGATCATGAACAAAAATGTTGATATGAATATCATTATGATTCATGATTGGTCTTTTGCTTGGTTTAGACTTTTAGCTTATTTGAAGGAGACAATGCAAGTGTTTCAGAGGAAAGATTCATCAGGTTCTTCTTGGGGAAACACAATGCAAAACATTCAAGGATCTGAATCTTTCGATTTGCCAAAGGATATGATCATGTCTACACAATTCGCCGCGACGAAACATTCGGTTTTGCAGCTGCAAAATCAAGATTCATCTTCAACACAATGTACTGGAGAATCAGGTGGTGATGAAGTTGCAAGCTTTAACATTGTTAATACCAATCTTTCAGGTGAAACAAAGAAACTGATTTGATGAATCTTTGGTCACATTGTTACATTACCGAAAAAACCGCTAACTTTTGTGGATTTCTGATGGATGTAGGTTACATCGAAAACCCGGTAAAGGCTATTGAAAGTTACACTAAGTCAACCACCACCTCGTCGATGGAAGATTCTGTGTTTCCTCCTCCTACTTCAGTTCAAACATCTTGGTCTTTTCAATGTACTGAAACATCACATTTCAGTGGTTTCTTGGCTCCTGAATATGCATCAACGCCAATGGTAATATGTCGTAAACTCTTGTGATTTCACAATTTCTGAATCGAAGAGGCGCTTTGTTTGGTTAATTGTGGTTTTTTTTTTCTTTTTGCAGGTGATGCCTCATTTGGAGGCGATGGATTTTGTTTCTTCTAGAGTGCCATTACCTCATAACATTCAAGAGAATGAGCCGATATTCGTCAATGCGAAACAGTACCATGCAATTCTTCGTCGCAGGAAGCATCGTGCTAAACTCGAAGCTCAGAACAAACTCATCAAAAACCGTAAAGTAAGAATCTTTTCATTTTCCCGTTTGCTTAAAACACCAAAAGATCTTTTGATGATTCAATCCAATTTGAGAGTAGTGAGTAACAAGTTTTCATTTTTCTCATTATTGTAGCCATACCTTCATGAGTCTCGCCATCTTCATGCTTTAAAGAGAGCTAGAGGCTCGGGTGGGCGTTTCCTCAATACAAAGAAGCTTCAAGGATCATCAAACTCACTCTGTTCTTCTCAAATGGCAAATGGACAAGATTTCTCTGAGAGCCCTAGCAATGGTGGAAGTGGAATTAGGTCTAGCTCGATCACACCGAGCTCTAATCCAGACCGTAACAACATGTTCCAAACCCCGCAGTTCAGATACTCAGCTTATCCATCAGCACATCATGTCTCACCTCTCATGTCAGGGACTTGAGACATCTGAGAAGAATCTTGCTCTGGGAGAACTCTGACAAAACTCCGATGAAACGGACAGTCATCCTTGGCTACAAATTTGTTATTGTTTCATTACAAAGTTTAGGCCTTTTAAGACTCTCCTTTCTTATCCTCTGCAATCTTATTTCTATATGGAAGAAATTTCAAATTCATTGTTAAACTATTTTGTTAACTTTTATAACATTTCCAATTCTCTGAAACTACAAATTGCATTACTTACTCTCTATCATTTACACAAACGAGAGA